ACGAGGATCTTACAGTTAAGTGATGCCATTGAAGAAGTAATTCAGATGAAAAATATGTATACACGGTCCACTGCATTGCATCAGGCATGTAAGATTTCAATGTTTTTCGGTAAAGACATGCCATTACCTAAAGATACAGACATTAGTGATGTTGAAGATTATTTAAAGCGCATCGAGGTCAAAAAATTAAAAGAGTGTATTCCAGTCGCCGGCACATGCTTGATAGCAGACTTGAAGAGTAAAGCATTAAAACAGTTGGCAAGGGGTTGGTTATCATCATCGTCTGAAACTGAGGTAATACGAATATATTTTTACATATTATTTTATACTAAAAGAAACTTAATGGTTTTAGCCTGAAGTCGAGAGACCGAGGACAAGGGCATTCGCAGCACGTGAAAGGGCAAAGGCAAGACGTAGATTAAGTTACTCATTTTTTCCTGCCRATAATATATAAAAATATTTTAATATTTAAAAAAAACCTAGCCGTAGATTAAGATTATCCAATATTTGTATTGTAATTGGATAAAAAATTGTTTATTATATGATTTTCATATTCTGGTTAAAAAAAAAAAATWAAAAAAAAACGTGATATTTAAAAAAAAAGTATTTTTATTTACAAACTATTTACAATTTCCTTACATCACCATTAAAAGGGTTATAAGTTATAATTTGATCGTGTAAGATGAGACAATAAGCTGCAGTTTTCGCTGGAATGGCTTTGTCTGTTTCGAACTCGATGCGTAAATCAACAGTCGACGATTTTACGTTGTCGTTTTGTCATGATAAATCTACGACTATGATTGGTACGTATTGTTCAAAAATAGTTGTTGACAGTAGAGGCTCACTATATTCTCTATCACATTATGATTTTTGGAAATCTGCATATGCTTTGTATAAAATAGCGTAACGTTGTTTGTGAAATCTGAACGGAAATCTTCGTATGGATACATTTCAGAGTTTAGATGTATTTTAAGGTTTTTCAGGTAACAATGATCGAATCGTCCAGACGGATTAAATAAACTGTTTTTTCGATCTGTTTGAAATCCGATTAATGCAAATCTGAGTTTCTCGAGCAAACTACTCGATTTAACCGTCCATGAATGAGACGTGTTCTGAGGGAGAACCGGATACTCGCACAAGTTCCAATTCCTGAACGCACACGAAAGTGGTTTACGAGAGTCTAATACTTTTAGTAATTTTATTTTTTCTTTGTCGCTCACCCTGATAATCGGCATCTTCCAAATAATTTTACTTAACTCAATCACTACTTTTTTAAGTTTTTCTTTATTGTCATTCGCAGTGGTCTCCGAAACGTACAACGCATCAAAGTCCGTAGACGATCTGTTTAAAATGATTTGTTGGTTGCAGTTGAGTAGTATTTTTTTATAATCTTCACAAAATCCAAACAAGTGTTTTAGTGGGATACAGCCGGCAAACTTGTTATTAAACGATAAATGTCTATTTTCACTGGCATCCATATCCACGTTCCAAGCAGCATTTATTAGATTGTTCAATTCATTCGGTGTGTGTGAGCAAAACCCTTTAAGACTCGATGATATTCCAGGAGATTTTAATTTTTGTATTTCAACACCGTTAATTTCATACCGGATTTCGGAAAGTAAAAACGCTAGACCATTATTTGTAAAATTTATTTCGTTTGCATATGCTACAATATCTGCCGGTATATTTAATTTACCTTCAATATAGAGATAGCTCTCGCAGG